AATAATTAAATTTTATATTAATTTAATTAATATGAACAGTTGATAATTGTTTCAATTAAAATCCATTATTCTAAAAGATTGAATGGGAGAGGATGTTTATTTAAATAAAAATTCACGGTCTCCTTTGGTCAATCTATAAGCCAAGTAATGTGCTTGCCTCGTTTCGGTAATGCAACGGACTCCCTATAGGAGGGTCGCGTGGTTCAAGTTGCTTTTATTGGATTTCTTTATGATAAAATCGTCTAAATAGAATATAATTTGTGATCATCCTATTTATGAGAAATTATTTTCAAGCGTTTAGAGATTGAGACAAAGGTTGTATATTCAAATCAAAATTATCTATGAACCTCCTATAGAGGCTCTCTTCTATAATTTTGGTGACCAACTAAAACGATGTTAGACTTAATATAGACATTTGTTTTCAGTTATATTTTGTTCAAGTGGGAGGGTCTCAGTTTGATTAGTGGACACATTGACCGTTCCTATAGAGAGGCATGTTGGATCAAAGAGATCAAGTCATCGTTGCATTATTGTAGTTAGATTGATCTACACATGCATCATATGCTAAATTATCATTGGCTGTTCAATTTTAATATGCAATAAATTGTTATTTTTCAGCAAAATGTCTCTCAGCACTTTTTCCATTATTCTAAAACAAAACCAACTTGTCGGGGATAATTATGTGGATTGGAAATGTAATTTGATGTTTGTGATTGTTGTTGAAAAATTTGATTTTGTGCTTGAAGAAGAATGTCCCAAGGAACCTATTGATACTACAGGAAAGTCCAAGAGAGCTGCGTATGATAAGTGGATCGCCGCTGACAATATGGCTCACTGTTACATTTTGATATCCATGTTAAACATGTTATAGCAAAAGCTTGAAAGTCAGGAGACCTCTTATGATATACTAGAAAGCTCGAAGGGCATGTTTGGACATCAAAGTAGGAGGGCTCGCTTTGAGGCCATTCGTACCTTACTAGAACATTCGCATGAAACCTGGAACGCCTGTGAAGGATCGTTGACTATGATTGCACACTTTAATGTGGCGGAGAATCTGGGTGCAACTATTGATCAGGAAACTCAAGTTGATATGGTATTGAATTCTTTATCTGATATGTTTTCACAATTTACTGTGGACTATCACTTGCACAAGATGAATACGCCATTAACTAAGTTGATGAATGAGTTGCAAAATGTGGAAAGTGGTCTCAAGGGTAAGGGTGGCCATGCTCATGCGGCAATTGCTAGCTCCTCTAGCTGCAAGCCAAAAGGTGAAATTGAAAAGAAGAGGAAGAGATCTAACAAGAAGCCATGAAGCAACAAAAAGCCCAAATCAGATGGAACGTCGAAAGGCAAGTGTTTCCACTGTAGTCGCAAAGGACATTGAAAGAAAGACTGCCCTGATGCACTAGCTAAAAAGCTGGGTGTTGGTGAGTTTTTTATTGCTGAGTCATGTTTGGTGGTTGATTCTACAAATTCTTGGGTTGTAGACTCTGGAGCCACTAATCATCTATGCATGCTACTTCGGGAGAGTAGAAGACTCGATGAGGGCCAGTTTAAAATTACTATCGGCACAAGAGCTATAGTTTCAGCAAGAGTAGTAGGAGTAGTTTATTTTTATTTCAATAGTGGTAGGCATTTAATTCTTAAGGACTGTTACTATGTCTCGCGGATTAAGCGAAATTTAATTTCTGTTTTTTGTTTAATAGGACAAGGTTATTCTATAAACTTTGCGCATGATGCGCTTTATATTCTAAAGAATAAAGCTCCTATTGTGTTGGATTTTTGGTGAATGGTCTTTATATTTTAAATCGTGCCACAAATGAAATAAATGTTACTTCTGCAAACCATGAATGAATGTCTAACCATACTAGTGATACTTATTTATGACATCTTAGATTTGGACATATTAACCTTAACAGGATACAAAGATTTGCTAGAGATGGTCCACTTAACACACTTAAGGTCGAACTATTCCCAGTTTGTGATTTTTATTTGAAGGGTAAAATGACCAAGAGATCCTTTCTAGCAAAAGGACATAGAGTCAAAGAAGTATTAGAACTAATTCATTCTGATGTATGTGAATCCATAAATACACCTGCGAGGGGGGATTATGAGTATTTTATCACTTTTATCAATGATTACTCTAGATTCAGATACATCTGCCTAATGACTCGAAAGTCAGATATTTTTGAAAAATTCAAAGAGTATCGAGTTGAGGTCGAGAAACATTTGGGGAAGAATATTAAGACATTTCTATCAGATCAAGGTGGCGAATATCTCTCGGGAGAATTCAGGGACTAGTTGACAGAAAATGGTATTGTTTCTCAACTAAGTGCGCCAGATACATCCTAGCAGAATGACATTTCAGAAAGAAGAAATAGGACATTGTTAGACATGGTTAGGTCAATAATGAGCTTTGCAACTCTACCTATCTCATTTTGGGGATTTGCACTGGAAACAACAACATATGTTCTTAACTTAATTCATTCTAAATCAGTTCCTGAGACTCCCCTAGAATTATGGAATGGGCGCAAGCCTAGCTTATTTCATATTCAAATTTGGGAATGTCTGGCTCATGTGCTGAAAGGGAAGGCAGAGAAGTTAGAGTCTAGATCAGACATATGCCTGTTTGTGGGATACCATAAAGGTACCAGGGGATATTATTTTTATAGTCCTCTAAATAGGAAAGTCTTTGTTAGCACAAATGCCACTATCCTAGAGGATAAATTTATTAATGAACCTCAGTCCAAAAGCAAGGTCGTGTAGGAAGAAATGAGTGGGAGCAACTCCACCACACCGATTTCTGAAACACAATCTCATGACAGACAACCATTGGTGCCAGATATACCTAAACAATGTGTTTTGAGTGGGAGAAATGAGTCATCCAATCCCATGGATCAAGTAAACATTGAAGATATTGAGAAGGTAATGGAACCACCTAATGGTGATGCCAACATTGATACAAACGTTACAATTCCAAACGATGCCACAGTCCAGGTTCCACCATCCCTTAGATAAAGTCAGAGGGTTATCAGACCACCTTTTAGGTACTTGTTAGTTGGAGAGTCCAATCACGCGATCTCCACAACACAAGCTAATGACCCGACTTCATATAAGGAGGCCATGAATGATATGGATGCAGATTTATGGCAACAAACTATGAATGCTGAAATGGAATCTATGCATTCCAATCAGGTCTGGGAACTTGTAGATGCACCAGAAGGGATAAAATTCATCGGGTGCAAGTGGGTCTATAAGAAAAAGAGAGCAGCAGATGGGAAAGTGGAAACTTTTAAAGCAAGGCTAGTGGCTAAGGGTTTTACCCAACGAGAAGGCATCAATTACGAGGAGACCTTTTCGCCTGTGGCTATTCCTAAGTCTATCCAAATTCTTTTATCCATTGCATCTTATTTTGATTATGAGGTGTGGCAAATGGATGTCAAGACAACCTTTTTAAATGGCCATCTTGAAGAATGTATCTATATGGTGCAACCAGACAGATTCATAGAACTTGGTCATGAAGACAAAGTCTGCAAGCTTCAGCGGTCCATTTATGGGTTGAAACAAGCATCAAGATCTTGGAACAATAGATTCGATGAAGTGATTAAGACATATGGTTTTGATCAGAACTTTGAGAAACCCTGTGTCTATAAGAAGATACTGGAGAAAATTGTAATTTTCCTTGTGCTATATGTGGATGATATTCTACTCATTGGAAATGATGTTGGAGCATTATCGTCTACGAAAGTGTGGTTGGTCCAATAGTTTTATATGAAGGACTTAGGAGAAGCTAGCTATGTTCTAGGTATTTAGATCATAAGAGATCGAAAGAACAAGCAGATAGCTCTATCCCAAGCTTCATAAATTGATACGATACTTGTCAGATTTGCCATGGAAGATTCCAAAAAAGGTAATTTACCTTTTAGGCATGGAATCCAACTCTCTAAGGATTAGTCCCCATAAAGACTCCTAAAGGGGTAGAACACATGAGCAGGATACCTTATGCATCTATAGTTGGTAGTCTCATGTATGCTATGTTGTGCACTAGACTTGAATTTGTTAGACTGTTGGTATGGTGAGTCGATATCAATCTAACCCTGGACCGGAACACTGGGTGGTTGTAAAGCATATCCTGAAGTACCTTCGAAGGACAAGAAATTACATGCTAGTTTACCCATCACCAAATCTTGTTCTGGTGAGTTATACAGATTCAGACTTCCAGGCTGATAAGGACTCTCGCAAAACTACATCAGGATCACTGTTTACATTTGGTGGTGGGGCCATTATTTGGTTCAGTATCAAACAATCATGTATTACTGATTTCACCATGGAGGCTGAGTATGTGGTAGCTTGTAAAGCCGCTAAGGAAGCGGTGTGACTTAAAAAATTCCTAACGGATATCGAGGTGGTACTTGCATCTGCACAACCCCTAAAACTGTACTGTGATAACAGTGGGGCAGTGGCAAATGCTAAAGAACCAAGGAGTCATCAAAGGGGTAAACATATTGAACGCAAATATCATCTCTTGAGAGAGATAGTTAATAGAGAAGATGTGATTGTGAGTAAAATTACTACTGGGGATAACCTTACGGATCCATTTACTAAGGGCCTATTGGCTAAGGTTTTTAATGGACGTGTGTAAGGCATCGGGTAACATGACATGACACATATACTCTAGAGCAAGTGGGAGATTTGTTGGATTGTGTGCCCATATAGTATAATTTTGCTGATGCAAAAGTAACAATAATAATTTTTTATATTGAATAAAATTATGTTTACTTTATTTATTGCATTTATTTATTATTGACCATTCGAAATTAAAATGTCTGTGATCACTTGTGATAATATGAGTTGGGTACTTGCATTGAAAAGTACAGTGTGATACAACTTATATTTTGATCATAAATAATTTGTTCACAACTAATGTATAAGAGTTGTCACCTTATATTGGAAGATTGTAATGTTCACCAATTCACCATTCAAGGTTGTGATTTGTCCTTATCACAAAAATAGTTAAAGATGACACTAGTATACTTGAAGTGTATTGAATGGATCACGTGTCGAATTTAATTCTATAACATGACCATGCGGAGAATTAAATTCCACTTGACCGTTGTGTATTTCATCTGAATCCCTTGACAGGATTATGTATATCTTTTTGTGATTTTAATAGTTCTTTGATTCATTTATGGGTGTAATCAATGTGATTGGTCAAATATTTCGATGAGTTGGGAACTTGAGAATGAGCCGAGCAGAGAACATGAATTCGTGTCAGAAATCGTTACCCTGAAAAATGGGCAGAGTGACTATTTAAGTATCTTTTGTTGAGAGGTTAAAATCTGAGCTCAGTGTTTAGCGACGGCTAAACTTTGACATCTGTGATTTGCTCACAGGACCGTTGAAAAAATGAAATTTAAGTTAGTGAGAATAATTAGATGAGAAAAACGGTCATTTATACTCGTACCTAATTATCGGATCTAGAACGAGGATAAAATACATATACGGCAGGTCAGAAGAAAGTATTACAGATTTATTGACTTCTGTGATCTTATATATTCTAAGGGTTCAATCTTTTACCTTTAGTGAAAAAAACAAAGACTAATAATTAGATTGAGTGGTCTAGGGTCAACTAGACATGATCTAATTATTGGAGCTTGAAAAATATATGTCTGATCAGGTCCCTGTGGTAGCTCAATAAAGTATTAGAACTTAATTACGGTAATTATAATAGTTTTGGGCTTAATTGTAATTATAATAAAGTTTTGTACTTGGTTGTAATTACTATGAAAGTTATAAACTTAATTGTAATTGTAATTAAAGTTCTAGGACTACACATGCAATTATATGTAAACTAATTAGAATTGTACTTAAAATAGAACTCCTACTTGAGTTTTAATTAAAACTCTTGTTTGAATGTGGAATTATAATTTTACTAGAATTCTATCATCTTTTTCTCTATAAATAGAGATTGGATAGATAGAAAAGTACTATAACATTCATAATTCCATAAGATTCAAATTTGTAGAGAGATAAAGAGGGAGAAAATATATTATTTTCTTGTCGTCCAAAATTCAAGAATTAGTTTCTAAATTAATTAAAAAAAGGTGCCCACATGCCGGTGTAGCATTTTCGTTGGAGAATACCATAAAAGGCTTGAAAGTTTGAAGCACCAAGATTCTTGCAATTAAACGAGAGGAAGTTTGCGGATCAGAGTCAATTCAAGGTTGATCATTGAACTTAGGTGAAATATTTGAATCCTTTAATTTTGTTATAACGTACACGTGAACATCTAGACGAATTTGTTTATTGAATTAAAGAAAATTTTAATTTCTAATTAATTCCTTTTTCGCATTCCAACAATATGTAAATATCATCAGACTTCCTTGCCATAGAAATATGGACAAATTGTGCAGGAGCATATATATTTTGCTTAGAAATTTCATAGAGTTGATTCTTTTCATATTGTTCATTTGTGGTCTTTTCCACTTATCCTACATCACTTGTGGGTATTTTGGCATCCATCAGTTATTAATTTGTCACAA